GGGGAGGGGAGGGAAGAGAGGACTGGAGTGCAGGGGGAGGGAGAAGGGTGTAGAGGAGGATAGAAAAAGGAGGGAGAGGAAGAAGGGGATAAGAAGAGGAGGAGGCAGAGTAAGACAGAGGAGAGGAGAGGAAAAGAGAAAAGGAGACAGGAAAAGAAAAGGAAGAGGAGAAAGAAAAAGTTATCTTCCAGCCATAGTGGCATCTATTAAAAATATTCAAATTTAACTGAACCATTACAAAACTGTGATGCACTGTATGGGGGACACACTGTGGATTATTCCCGAAGCAGGCTGCGAGTAGTTCAGGCGGTGAAGACTTAACCCCTCAGCTGTCTCACTGGAAGAGGCTCACGGGACTCTCAGCAGCACCTCATAAGCACTGCGGTAGTTGCACAGGTTAGCGCGACCATCCCGCTAATGACCACGACCACAGAAATGGCCTGTGAAGCTGCGGGGCCCAATATGAGACAGCATAGTAACTGAGGTCGGAGAAACTCACACGCAAATTCCATCCCCATGACTAAAATCCCCTTAACTAGAAGGACAAGGTTCTAGTTACAACTCCACGTTTTGTCTGCTCCTTTCCTAATTCGATAATGCTTTGTTTTTTCCTTAAAAGCCTTGATTGCATTAGTAACTTGTCCACAGCAACTGCACATCTCCTCACATAGCCACTTTGCCCCGATCTGACCATGATGTCATGAAAAAATAGCAGTGGCTTGGACTGGCCAAGGTGTTTGCTGGTTGATCATCAGTGGTCATCCCGGCTTTCCACCTTTTTCTTTAATTTTGTCTTTGAGCCTTTCTACAACTCTGCATAGTACACTGGGCAGGAGATTGAAACCTACTACAAGAGTCTCAAGTACACTAGATGAAGGAATGTCAAGATTTCTATGCAGGAACTGTTTAAGAGTTTATAAAACATGCCCGTGACATATCTTTCACAGTAAAAAAGAATATGATCTTTCTAATAGAAACAATTTATTTTCTTAACAACATACCTAGGCTGAGATTGTGTCCTGAAATATTTGAAGTGGTTAGACAAACCAGTGAAATGTTCTGATTTGAAAAACATATTGATTGATTGATTGATTGATTCAATACATCCTTATTATTTAGTAGGTATGGGTGGTAGCTGAAACTCATAGCTGGGGAATTTTGACCTTTTGTGAGTTTTCAGGATAAACTTTCCTAAGGACTTAAAAAGTTTTGGTCTGAGTCATAAGATGAAGACAGGAGCCTAAATGACCTACATTCTATTTTTTTATTTATGAATTTATTTCGAGATTTGGGTGAGAAATCTATACTCTGGGGCTAGTGTTTTCTGAAAGAAACATACGTCTACCAACTTTAACATAAGCCAAGCCTCTTGTTTTCTTCATGCTATATCTAGAACAAATCCTATATACTTGTTAAGTGATATCACTAGCTGATAAAGTCTGTTTAATAATATAATTCTACAGTGGAATCAAGGGTAAACTACTAATACATTATACTGTTTCCTCTCTCTAATATGAACTTGGGAGAGTCATTGTTTTGGTTACTTTTCTCATTACTGAGACAAAATTTGTGACACCAAAAGTTAAGGAAGGAAAGGTTTATTGCGCTCACAGTTTGTAGAGGTTGCTATAGTCAGCTGGCTCCAAAGCAGGGCACATGACAATAAAGCATCAAAGAGGAGAAACAGTTTATAATGGGCAGAAGGTAGCAAATAAATTTAAAAAAAACAAGCATTCTTCTGTTCATTATATGTATGCAGGCTACCCATCCTAGGGCAGATGCAGCATTCACACCCCTAGTCCTGGCCAGAAAACTATGCCAAACCAATCAGTAGACCGATTCAGTAATCTCACATTCTTGATCCCAGTCTGAAGAGACCCCTCACTATGACTGCATGGGGCTTTGAGAGGGCATCTAGACAAGAGCCAAATCGGTCATCTTTACAATAGAAATAATCACATAAAAATACCATAGAGTGTAGCAAAGTGTTAGGGAAATAATTTTGGAGACCTGATTGTTGGTGCTCTTTATAGAATATAAATATTTTCTGGGCAATTTCTAGTTTACACATACAATACATTTTACATACATACATAACACACACACACATTGATGATACCTTTTGTGGAAAACATGGTATTTTTATTTCAATGAATAAGTAAAAATATATTTGAGTTACACGAAATTTTTTGCTGAATATAAAAATTATATATTGATAAGGATAGCGCTAACTGAGTAGAAGAGAGATGCATACTAGAATCTGGTGTTAAGAGCCACAGCTGCAGTGAGGAATTCACCAGAGCAGGGATATCCACTGAATTTTGAATTTTTCTCACTTACTAAAAAACAGGCAAGGCCATGCATAATTAATCTCCATTACTAGGGTAAAGAAATATATTAGTTTCTATTGTGGACATGCAGTCACATATTTTCAGGTAAACTGGTAAAAAGTATTTTAATAATTTGACCAGAAAATTAGAAATATGTCTATGATCAGAGAAGTCTGCAGTTATTTCTTAAAATTCGCATTGCAACTGAGTCTCATACTATTTTGATAGCACCACTGGTTATTTTAAAATTCTTTTGTGAAATAAGTTAAATATATTTTGCTTAGATTATTTGAAATGCTTTGAAAGCTTTGAAGCATAAATGTATGGTATGCTAAATCAAATAACATGTAGCATTAAGCAAAAATATTTTTTTCTAAATTTTATTCATTACCAGACAAAAATAATGATAACATGACTTTCATCACAGAGAATAAAGATCAAACAAAATCAATCCTTTCTCTTTTGCATATAAATTCACATATATCTTTGGTTTTAATCATAAAGCGAATTATATTTCAAAAATAATGTGCCACTATGACATTATTTATTAAAGGACATTATTTTATATGTGATATATTCCCAAGAAATCAAAAATATTGCCAATAA